TGCCCAGGCTGGAGTGCAGTGACACGATGCTGGCTCACTGCAACCTCCGCCTCTCAAGTGGTTCTCCTGCTTTAGCCTCCCAAGTAGCTGGGATTACAGGCACCCGCCACCATGCCTGGCTATTTTTGTATTTTTAGTAAAGACGGGGTTTTACCATGTTGGCCAGGCTGGTCTCAAACTCCTGACCTCAGGTGATCCACCCACCTCAGCCTCCCAGAGTACTGGGATTACAGGTGTGAGCCACTGCGTCTGACTTTCTTTCCTTTCTTAATTATTTATTTCTTTTTGAGACAGGGTCTCACTCTGTCACCCAGGCTGGAGTGCAGTGGTACAATCATGGATCACTGCAAACTCCATCTCCCAGGCACAAGCGATCCTCCCACCTCAGCCTCCTGAATAGCTGGGACCACAGGCATGGACCACACTTGGCTCATTTTTGTATTTTTTGTAGAGATGGGGTTTTGCTATGTTGCTCAGACTGGTTTTGAACCCCTGGGCTCCAGTGATCCTCTCTCCTTGGCCTCCCAAAGTGCTGGAATTACAGGTGTGAGCCACTGCACCCGGCCTGTTTTATGCATTTTCTAGAGGAGGAACTGGAAGTTCAGAGAGGCTAAGGGACTTGCCTAAAGGCACACAGCTAGGAAGTGCTGAAGGTTGAGCCCAGGCCCTCTGACTGGGAGCATGGATCCTTCCACCCTGCAACAAGCTGTCTTCCTCGAGGGCACACACAGGCTCTTCCTTTGAGGCAATGGAGTGTAGTGTTTATGCAACAGATGGGTTTGAATCTCAGCTCCTCTGTTTTTTTTTTTTTTTTTTTTTGAGATGGAGTCTTGCTCTGTCGCCCAGGCTGGCGTGATCTCAGCTCACTGCAACCTCCCCCTTTCGGGTTCAAGTAATTTTCCTGCCTCAGCCTCCCAAGTAGCTGGGACTACAGGCGCGTGCCACCATGCCCGGCTAATTTTTTGTAGTTTTAGTAGAGATGGGGCTTCACCGTGTTAGCTAGGATAGTGTCAATCTCCTGACTTCGTGATCCGCCTGCCTCGGCCTCCCAAAGTGCTGGGATTACAGGCGTGAGCCACTGCACCCGGCCCTCAGCTCCTCTTGTAGCCATAATGCTTTGAGGGAGTTCACTTCTCTGGGCCTCAGTGTTTTGCCTGTTCAATGTTGGCAATGTCACTGTCCTCACGGTGGTGGCTGAGACAAGGATTCAGTGAGATAAGGCACACGGTCTGCATTCAATAAGCCCAGCTGACAGGGTTGTCATTCACCTTTGCACCCTATGCCTCCATGCCTCGTACCCAGTGAGAGGGGCTGGGCTTATTTTGGGTGGTACCCAGGACTGGCCCAAGCCCTGTCCTTCCCTGCAGGCCCCCAGTATGGCACACTGGAGAAGGCCTGGCATGCCTTTTTCACGGCGGCCGAGCGGCTGAGCGCCCTGCACCTGGAGGTTCGGGAGAAGCTGCAAGGGCAGGACAGTGAGCGGGTGCGCGCCTGGCAGCGGGGGGCTTTCCACCGGCCTGTGCTGGGTGGCTTCCGCGAGAGCCGGGCGGCTGAGGACGGCTTCCGCAAGGCCCAGAAGCCCTGGCTGAAGAGGCTGAAGGAGGTGAGGCTGGGTGGGAGAGGTATCCGAGGCAGGCTCCTTCCTGGTCTGCCAGGGATCGAGGGGGCCAGGGTGTGGCATCCAGGGTCCAGCGTGGTCCCCATACATGCCAGGTTGAGGCTTCCAAGAAAAGCTACCATGCAGCCCGGAAGGACGAGAAGACAGCCCAGACAAGGGAGAGCCATGCGAAGGCAGACAGCGCCGTCTCCCAGGAGCAGCTGCGCAAACTGCAGGAACGGGTGGAACGCTGTGCCAAGGAGGCCGAGAAGGTACGGGCCTCAGGTACCAGCCCTGGCTCCCGCCCAGGGCATGGCTTCCTGAATGAGTCTTGCTCCTTGAACACCTTGTCCAGTCCCCAGCACTCTTATTACCCTAATCCTCACTTGCCACCCTCTCTCTAGATGATCATTTAAAGGAGGAACCCGACAAAAGGTGATACTTTACCTAGGGAAAGAAATGGAGTTTCAGGCACTGGGATGACTTCAGCAGTTGAGAACTTCCAGCTCTTTCCTTGCACAGTATCCCTCTGCCTGGTGTCCTTTCCTGCAGCTCTGCATATGCAAATCCTTACCATCCTGAGATGCTGCAGTTTCCACCTCCTCCAGGAAGCCTTTTCTGATATCTCCCATCCTTTCCTGTAGGTTGACCTCATTTCAGTCTTCACCACACTCTTTTATCCGCTGCACCTGATGTCACCTCCCTTGTTAGGCTGCTGGGGTTCTTGAGGGCAGGAGTTGGGTCTTAGGACTGATAGCCCCTAGTGGCTAACCCCGGGTCTAGCAGCCCATGGCAGTGTCTGGTAAACACTGGTGGAGTCCTAGGTGGAAGAAGGTCTGGTCCTCACCAGAACCCTCCTCTCCCACCCAGACAAAAGCTCAGTATGAGCAGACGCTGGCAGAGCTGCATCGCTACACTCCACGCTACATGGAAGACATGGAGCAGGCCTTTGAGACCTGCCAGGCCGCCGAGCGCCAGCGGCTTCTTTTCTTCAAGGACATGCTGCTCACCTTACACCAGCACCTGGACCTTTCCAGCAGTGAGAAGTATGGGCTGCCTAGTGGGCGTGGAGATCTGGGGTAGTACTGGGTCTCCTCCATCTCCCCTAGGCCCTGGCTGGGACTGAGGGATGCAGGTTCTAGACTTCCTAGACTGAGGGTGTGCCTTGGGCCATAGGTTCCATGAACTCCACCGCGACTTGCACCAGGGCATCGAGGCAGCCAGTGACGAAGAGGATCTGCGCTGGTGGCGCAGCACCCACGGGCCAGGCATGGCCATGAACTGGCCACAGTTTGAGGCATGTGTTCCAGGCGGGGTGGGGCTGGGAGGTGGGATGGGCTCCCACTCAGCTCGGCCAGGGCTAGGGGTGAAGTAAGCGAAGGTGGTCTGGATGGCCCCACCTGACTGTAAGCACTGTCCCCACAGGAGTGGTCCTTGGACACACAGAGGACAATCAGTCGGAAAGAGAAGGGTGGCCGGAGCCCTGATGAGGTTACCTTGACCAGCATCGTGCCCACAAGAGATGGCACCGCACCCCCACCCCAGTCCCCGGGGTCCCCAGGGTGAGAGCCAGGAGCGTGGCTGTGGCAAAGAAACAGCTCTGCCTCCCACCCTCCACTCCTTTCTCCTTGGTTTCATTCCCTTCACACCTGAAATGGGTTGAAAACTGGTGCCGGGGACCTGAGGGACTACTTAGTAGTTGTAATGATACCGGTTCTCACGGTGGTTTAGATTTGCCAGGCATTTCCCACGTTCCCTCTCGTTTAAGCCTTAAATCAGCTGCGTGTGGCAGGAATTGCCTCTGCTCAGAGTCCCGCATGGCGAGATAGAGCTAGAACCTTTCAGCACCTCACCTGCCTCTCCCAGGTGCCTCTGGGGGTAGGGAGGCCTTTGCCCTGATCCTGGGTGAGATCTCCAGCCCCGTGTTCCTTGCACACTGAGCTGCTCCCTTTGCCTGCCCTCTCCAGCACAGGGCAGGATGAGGAGTGGTCAGATGAAGAGAGTCCCCGGAAGGCTGCCACCGGGGTTCGGGTGCGGGCACTCTATGACTATGCTGGCCAGGAAGCTGATGAGCTGAGCTTCCGAGCAGGTACCCTGGGACCCCTTTCCTAGCTTCAGTCGGTCTCTGCTTTACCCGCCTGAGCAGGGATGTCACAAAGGAAAGCCAAATACCCACTTCTTAAGGGCCAGTCCTCTGGCCCTTCAGCTGTTCCAGGTCCAGACAGCTGGTGCCTGGTGGCTGCATTCGGGGTCTGGGGTGGGGCAGCTTGCTGACCTTGACCTGCCTCTGTCTGAGCCATGTCTTTGCTAGCTGGGCTCTGGGACCACACCATCCCCCTCAGTCCTTGACCCAGTTGCAGGAATGGGCTGGGCCAGGGCCACTAGCAGTGACCAATCCCCTTTCCCTCAGGGGAGGAGCTGCTGAAGATGAGTGAGGAGGACGAGCAGGGCTGGTGCCAAGGCCAGTTGCAGAGTGGCCGCATTGGCCTGTACCCTGCCAACTACGTGGAGTGCGTGGGCGCCTGAGTGTCCTGACAGCCCTTCTGCGATGCTTACCCACCCTGGGTGAGAGCCCAGCTTCTCCTGGAGAGCCAGACCCTCAGGGCCCTGAACCGTCGCTCCCCTGCTGCTCCTCTGTCCCTTGAGGGAGGAAGTCCTGGGACCCAGGGAGGGGAGGGGCCTTTGTCTAGGAAGGAACTGGTAGGGAGGGATGAGTCTAGGCTGAGGGCAAGATGGGAGGTCAGAAGTGACAGGGTTCAGCGGTGCCTGGGCCTCCCCAGGAGCTGTGAACTCAGTTCCTGACCTCTGCTTTGGGGTTCCTGAGGTGGGCTTGGGGTGAGTGTAGTTCCGGCCTAGCAGCACCCTCTTTTGTGGCTTGTTCTAGCGTATATTAAAACTTGACACACACACACACACAAAACAAAAACAAAAAAACCACTGTCGGGCTCATGTGCATTTTTTTGATAGGACACCCTTGCCAGGCCTCCAGAAGGCATCTAGAGAGAGGCCTAGCGTCTGTTATGGAGCCGGGGTTGGAAAAGGGTTTGCCTGCTTGGTACCTGCTCTGGAGTTTTGAGATCCTAATCTGGGGTGGAGGGGACTCGCTGTCAGGCTTGCTGTGAGCCGAGAACGGCTGGAGGCTGGGCGAGAGGCCGGCCAGTACGTCTGCCCGTTCAGGCCGGAGGGAAGAGGAGCACTTGGGCAGCCTAATCCTTACTCATCGATCTGTAATTGGCTGGAGTGGGGGTCCCCGCCCCCAAGCTCCCGCAGCCTGCGCGGCGTAGGGGCGACTCCACCTGGGGACTGAGGCGTCGGGGGCTGTGCGCGCGAGGAGGTTTGGGCCGGTTCGCCCGCCGTCGCTCCGTCCCGGCTGCGGATTGGCCCGGCGCGTCGTTGATTCTTACGGCCGCGGCTGACGTCACCGTCCCCGTCCTGCCGGCTGCCCATTGGTCCAGATCGGGCCCCAATCACCCCACTCCTCGGCTGGCCCGGGCACAGCTAAGGCTGACCTGGTGAGCCCGCCCTCCCCGCCGTGGATTGGCCCGCGGCGGGACCCGTCTGTCGCGGTTGTGTCTGGGAAGGAGAGAAAATGGCGGCGGAGCCGAACAAGACCGAAATCCAGACTCTTTTTAAGAGGCTTCGCGCAGTTCCAACCAACAAGGTGCGTGAGCAGGGGTAGCGCGGAGTCTGTCGTCCCGCTGGGGCCTGAGGGAGGGAGAAGGGCGGAGGTGGGTTGTTTTTCTGGGGTGTCTGCGCCTGGCCTTTACTCGGGGTCCCTGATCATTCGCTCATCGCTTCCTCCACCCAGGCCTGTTTCGACTGCGGCGCCAAGAATCCGAGTTGGGCCAGCATCACGTATGGTGTTTTCTTGTGCATTGACTGTTCCGGGGTGCACCGCTCCCTGGGCGTCCATCTGAGCTTCATCAGGTTGGGTTTCCGCGCGGTTGCCGTGTTTCCACCGGGCCGGCCAGGGCTGTGTGGGCAACAAGGGAGAGTGGCTGCCTCGACTTGGACTGCTTTGAATTCAGCGGGAAGCCTCTGGGCCGAGAGGGTCCGGTAGCCTCCTGCCGGAGGGAACCACCTGTGTGGGCTCCTTGGCACATAGGCGGTCCGTCTCCGCTTCTGGGCCAAAACTCGCTGTTTTTTGATGGTCAGACTTGAGACTCTGAGCGTTGGTTGGGAGGAAAGGGAGGCATTGACCTTGTTGCTGATATGTTGTTGGCCCAATATGTCTCTAGTGAAACTGTGACCATCCATTAGGGGAAAGCCAAATCCAGGGGTGCGTGCCTGAGAACGTGACCTCCTTTCGGATCTGGGGACATAATTAGTACTCTTTGGAGTAGATGAATGAAGAGCAAAGTTTTCATGGGCAGGGTAGTGTGGAGGAAATGGGGTGATGGCTGATTAATGTTTCCTGAGTGCCTACAGCAGCCTGAGACCAAGTGACAGGTATCGGGCCGCCAGGGAAACCCTTCTGCTGGTATCTGCTGGTGGGTGAGACGCAGCCCTTGTACACAGGTCCACAGAGTTGGATTCCAACTGGAACTGGTTCCAGCTGAGGTGTATGCAGGTCGGCGGGAATGCCAATGCGGTAAAGCTCCTTCTACCTTCCCCACCTTCCATTCTTCTGCCTGGGTACTAACTTTGCACGACTCCCTAAGAGGCCCTCTCGGTTTCCCTGTTCAGAGGGTTCTCTGTTCTATAACACCACCATAAGCCATTTTCTAAAAACTTCGAAACTGGTCACAGCTTCTCTTAAATGGGTTTCAAATTCCAATTAAACTGGGCAGGTGTTCTTGGGGAAAAGCCTCAGGAGTTGGAGCCTTCACAGTCATTGAGTCTTGTGGGCCTGCCCTGGATGAAGGATGGGGAGGCTGGGAATGGTATGTTGTCCTCAGGGTTCAGTGAGGCCTGGGCTTCAGTCATATCAGAGGATGGCAGGCTGCAAGGTGTTTTTTTGCAGGAATTTCGAGGAACTGTATCTCTGAAAAACCAGTGTCAGTAGCATGTATCATCCTGTATAGATAATAACTCGACTGTCATAAGGGGATGCCTCCTACAGCCAACACATTTCCTTCTTGAGAATCACCTGTAGCATGCGCTGCTCTCTTCTTTGCTCTCCAGACGGCTTTTTTCCGCCAACATGGATGCACAGCCAATGATGCCAACACCAAATACAATAGCCGAGCTGCCCAGATGTACCGGGAGAAGATCCGGCAGCTGGGGAGTGCGGCCCTGGCTAGGCACGGCACTGATGTAAGTGCCTGTTCTTGGGGCTGGGGTGGGAGGGTTAGGAGTATTCAGAGCCCTGTGTTTCAGGGGTGCCTTCTCCTTTCTAGCTTTGGATAGACAACATAAGTAGTGCCGTTCCTAATCACTCCCCGGAGAAGAAGGACTCTGATTTCTTCACAGAACACACTCAAGTGAGTGCCCACAAGGAACGTTTTTCCCAATTGTTCTTGACAAGCAGTTTACCAAGGCCAAGGCCTTCTGTGATCATGGCTATAGATTCCATTTGCTTTGATGTGATGTCTCGGACACATGTGTGAAGTCCACTGAGTTGGAATGTACGGAGTCCGCTGTTCCTGCTGGGTAGGCCTGGGTGTTTCCTCCTCCATAAATGGGGGTGCAGTGTAGACCTCCTTAGAAATAGACTCCTATAAACTGGGCTGGTGGGGAACGGGAGCAGCTTCTTGAAGGTTCAAGAGGTGTCTAGGGCCCCAAACAAGTTTTCCTGGATTCTTCCCTTACAAGAAAGGCGCTGTGCTTGGGGACAGTGAAAGGGTTCCCTCCTCCCCACCCCACCCTTTGAGGAGGGTTTCCTCTTTACTGACCCTGGGTGCTGAGGTTAGACTCTTGGCTTCAATTCCTGTTCTCTACTCAGCATTTCTGTGATGGCGGCCAAGTCGCTCGATCTGTCGAAACCTCAGTTTCTAAAATGGAGATATAGCTCCTTCATAGGGGTTGTAGTGATAATTAAATGTATTTGTATTTGAGGAACCTTTAGATCTGTGCCTGCCTAGGTGGTGTTAGGTAACTGTCTTTAACTTAGGAGAATGGGCTCTTGCTTTAAGTAAATAGTGAAGGGGTTGGGGTGGGGGCTGCTTGTTTTCCTGCTTTCTTCCACTGTGAGTAGCAACTGTGATCGTGTTTGCTCCCCTCCACTCCCTTTCCTCATGGGCTTGAAGTACGATCTCTTGCCCACAAGGTGCTTGTAGGTCTTGGTGCTCCTTGGCTACAGGAGCGGTTCACCGAGGCTTCTGTTATCTGGCCTCCTTTTCAGCCTCCTGCCTGGGATGCGCCAGCCACTGAGCCTTCAGGGACTCAACAGCCAGCCCCGTCTGCAGAGAGCAGTGGCCTGGCACGTGAGTTCAGCCCAGATTCCAACCAGGTGCCCTGGTCCTAGGAGAGGACTCAGGGTTTGGAAGGGGACATCTGGCTATGACAATAGGAGCAGGGATCCTCCTGTATCTTTGCGTGGGCTGGGATTCATTTTAATCCTTAGAGGAAGTGGTAGATATTCCTTTTATCTTTCGGTGGCAAGCTGAGGAAAGCCACTGACTCACGTCCCATCACTTCTTTCAAGGGGAGGTTGCAGGAAGCTAGGAGCCTCATCTCTAACTCTTACCATTGCATCCACAGAGCCGGAGCATGGTCCCAACACAGACCTGCTTGGCACCTCACCCAAAGCCTCACTGGGTCAGTATGCTAGTGGGCGGGCGTGGGGTGGCTGGGAGAGGGTGGACCTCAAATGTTCTTTTCAGAGTTCCTGCTGCCTGGCCGTGTGGACAGAGGCCACAGGAGACTGAGCATGTGTCTGACCTCTCTGGAGTGGGGACTGTGATTGAAATGGTGGCTGCAACACTGATTTTAGAGCCAAGCCCTTTGAATTGATGAATCTGGGTGGGCTGGTGTATAAGGCCTGGGGTCTGCCTCTGAGTGTGGGGCTGGGTCTAGCCAAAGTGTTGGGGAGGCCAGCATGAGACTGGACACCTATTCCTGGGCTCTGAGGCAGGGCTGGCTTGTCTGGTGCATTTCCTAGGGTGGAGGGACAGCTCTGAGCTGCCGATAGCTGGAGATGACATTGTTCTTTCTCAGCCAGTCCACCAGCCTGTCCTTTAACTCTTTTCTACATTTTCCTTAGTGTCCTTCAGACTTGGTTCAGGGTGAACAGTCAATTTGCTGACCTCGGTTTGTTCTGTTGACTCTTGGGGGTTGGGACTGGAACCCAGTAGAGTGACTGTCAGACTGATCCATGAGAAGGCTGGCATAGCTTGGTCTGAAGCAGGGCTTCATAGAGACCGCTGGGCTTGAGAGCTCTGTGGAGGCTCTGGGGTGGGCCTCTTGTTAGCCACAAGTCTGTTTCTCCTCCAGAGTCCATGTATCTGTCAGCTAAAGGGGCCCTTCCTGCCAGAGGTAACTGACAGCTGCTTGGGGAGCCCAGGCCCTGCCCGCAGCTTCCTGCTTTAGGAGCTGAGCCTGGTGCTCACCGTCTGCTCCCTGCCTCGCAGTCTTTGTTTTGGTTCAGGGACTTTGAGTGTCTTTGGTGCTTCAGGTCTAGGTTCCTGTCTCACTCTGCTGGGCGCCAGTAAATACCCCAGCCACGTCTATCTTTGGCTTGGACACCGCTGTTTGGAGCTGGTGCTGGCAGCTTTGCCTTCCCCTGCCTGAAGCTGTTCTTAGGAGCTATTGCCATGAAACTGCATGGTGTGGACGGAGCTACTGCCTCTGAGCTGCCTTTGTCTTAGCTCATGCCTACCCCCTTTCTCATGCAGAACTGAAAAGCTCCATCATTGGCAAGAAGAAGCCAGCAGCAGCTAAGAAAGGGGTAGGTGGGCAGAGGTGGTATGTTAGAAAGGTTAGGAGCTGGGTGCCGGCTACCTGGGTTCACCTCTTGACCTTACCACTCACCAGCTGTATGACTTTGGCAAAGGTACTGTGCTTCTCTGAACCTCGCCTGTGAAAGGGATTTAAAGATTTAAAGGGATTTAAAGCCTATCTTCAAGGGCTCCTGGGAGGGGTCGGTGAGAGGGAGCGCATCTAGTGCTTGGCGGAGTGCTTGGCACATACTCGGCCCTGTCAGCATTAACTGGCATCCTCAGGTCTGGGCTCTGCCGGGGCTGTGTGAACTGCCCATGCCCTGTTCCAGCGGAGCACTGTTCTCTTGGCCATGCTGGTTGGGCTCTTTATTTTTTACCCTAAATTTTAAGAAGGGCCTTTTCCTTGTGGGTGTGACTACAGTGCCCGAGCCTGGGAGGGGTCTGAGGAGAGTGTGATTGGGAAGGCCCCTGACATGATTCTCTTCCCAGCTGGGTGCCAAGAAAGGCCTCGGGGCCCAGAAGGTGAGCAGCCAGAGCTTCAGTGAGATTGAGCGGCAGGCCCAGGTAGCAGAGAAGCTCCGTGAGCAGCAGGCAGCCGATGCCAAGAAGCAGGCGGAGGAGTCCATGTGAGTGTTTGCTGCTGGGGCCTCAGGCTCGTGCAGGGCTTGGTGGGTGGGTAGGTTGGACAGGTCAGGATGGGTGGCCACTGACACCTTTGTTCCCTCTAAGGGTCGCCTCCATGCGTCTGGCCTACCAGGAGCTCCAGATTGATCGTAAGAAAGAGGAGAAGAAGCTACAGAATCTGGAAGGGAAGAAGCGAGAGCAGGCAGAGAGGTTGGGCATGGGCTTGGTATCCCGAAGGTGAGGCTCAGCTCCCGGTGTGGCAGGGAGATGCCGTTGTTTCCTGGGAACCATTGCAGGGCCTTCCCAGCAGTTTGGGATTCTAGGCTTGTTGTTTCTCCAAGTCTGAATAGATCGCTTGGCTTGTCCCTAATACAGTGCTTGGCATAGTGGGTATGTGCTCAGTAAGTTGAATGAGTGAATAGGTGTATGAATGAAACACAGGATCAGGTGTTGTTTCAGTATCTTCAAGAGACCAGGGTGGTTTTTCTTGATGGCACTTTGAGTCATGGGACAGTTTATTTTTCCAGACCTCCCTGAGAATTGAGGTGCATTTAGTATCATCCTTAATTCCTTAATCCCTGTCTAGAGATGCCATTTGTGTTCCCTGTAATACCCTAAAGTATCCACCCACATTTCAAATGCCCTCAGTTTGAGCAGAAAATCCTGTTTCAGAACCACTGGGTTTGCTGTGGTTTTCTTTCTTTCTTTTTCTTTTGAGACAAATTCTTGCTCTGTTGCCCAGGCTGGAGTGTAATGGTGTGATCTCGGCTCACTGCAACCTCTGCCTCCTGGGCTCAGGCGATCCTTCCACTTCAGCCTCCTGAATAGCTGGGTCCACAGCCGGGAGCCACCATGCCCAGCTAATTTTTGTATTTTTTGTAGGTTTTGCCATGTTGCCTAGGCTGGTCTCAAATTCCTGGATTTAGGTGATCTGCCTGCCTTGGCTTCCCAAAGTGCTGGGATTACAGGTGTGAGCCACCATGTTTGGCTGCTATGGTTTTTTATTTTTATTTTTTGAGACAAAGTCTTAATCTTTTGCCCAGGCTGGAGTGCAGTGGCACGATCTTGGCTCACTGCAATCTCTACCTCCTGGGTTCAAGTGATTCTCCTGTCTCAGCCTCCCAAGCAGCTGGGATTACAGGCGTGCACCACCGTTCCTGGCTTTTTTTTTTTTTTTTAAGATGGAATCTCGCCCTGTCACCCAGACTGGAGTTCAGTGGTGTGATCTCAGCCCACTGCAGCCTCCACCTCCCAGGTTCAAGCGATTCTCCTGCCTCAGCCTCCTGAGAAGCTGTGATTACAGGCATGTGCCACCACACCCAGCTTATTTTTGTATTTTAGTAGAGACGGGGTTTCACCATGTTGGCCAGGCTGGTCTAAAACTACTAGCTTCAAATGATCTGCCTGCCTTGGCCTCCCACAGTATTGGGATTATAGGCGTGAGCCACGGCACCCAGTGCTTGGATTACAGTTGTGAGCCACATCCGGCCAGAGGATAAAATTTTAACTTGAAAGGACATTGAAACTCCTTCCTTTCCCTGCTTCAGTCACATAGGAATGACTGGAATAACAGATGACTGGGTTAAGGGATGACTGAGGGGTTAAAGGATGACTGACTGAGTTAAGGGATGACTAAGGGGTTAAGGGATGACTGACTGGGTTAAGGGATGACCGAGGGGTTAAGGGATATGAACAATTTTTCAGCAGTGCAACAATTGTTTACTTAAACCCAACTCACCCTATTTATTTATTTGAGACAGAGTTTCAATCTTGTTGCCCAGGCTGGAGTGTAATGGTGTGATCTCGGCTCACCACAGCCTCCATCTCCTGGGTTCTAGCGATTCTCTTACCTCAGACTCCCAAGTAGCTGGGATTACAGGGATGTGCCACCACACCCAGCTAATTTTGTATTTTTAGTAGATTTAGTAGGTTTCTCCATGTTGGTCAGGCTTGTCTCGAACTCCCGACCTCAGGTGATCTGGCTGCCTTGGCCTCCCAAAGTGCTGGGATTACAGGTGTGAGCCACCACGCCTGGCCCAACTCAGCCCTATTGCAAAATAATCACTCCTTGGGGTTCTTCTAGCTAAAAGCTATGGATATTTTTAAATGAATTGGTTTAAATCAAATTAATCCTTAAAGTGTCCCTGTGGAGCCTGACAGAGGAATGAGAGGCGTCAAGAATTGTACTGTATTGCCTGCCAACCCTACACCCCTTTTTTTTTTTGAGAACCAGACAGCAATTCTAGGTCTTAGTGCATAAGGCCAGTCTTTGTGCTTTGAGGTGCTTTTTTTTTTTGAGACGTAGTCTTGCTCTGTCGCCCAGGCTGGAGTGCAGTGGTGCCATCTGGGCTCACTGCAAGCTCCGCCTCCCAGGTTCACACCATTCTCCTCCCAAGTAGGTGGGACTACAGGTGCCCACCACCACGCCCAGCTAATTTTTTTGTATTTTTAGTAGAGACAGGTTTCACTTTGTTAGCAAGGATGGTCTCAATCTCCTGACCTTGTGATCCGCCCTCCTCAGCCTCCCAAAGTGCTGGGGTTACAGACGTGAGCCACCTGCTCGGCTTTTTTTTTTTTTTTTTTTAAATAGTAGGATGATGAAAAACTCATCCTTTGATGCAGTCATGCTCCTTTCCCTGGTTCTGGGGCGTTCTTTCATCCGTTCCTTTGCTGTGTGAACCCCATCAGCGAAGGAGGGGTTCAAAGTGCACAAGGCAGGGAGTTATCCAGGACAGAGACCACTGGCATCTGGTGCACATTATTAAAATTACAACAGGAGGCCGGGCGCGGTGGCTCACGCCTGTAATCCCAACACTTTGGGAGGCTGAGGTGGGCGGATCACAAGGTCAGGAGATAGAGACCATCCTGGCTAACACGGTGAAACCCCGTCTCCACTAAAAATACAAAACATTAGCCGGGCGAGGTGGCGGGTGCCTGTAGTCCCAGCTACCCGGGAGCCTGAGGCGGGAGAATGGCGTCAACCCGGGAGGCGGAGCTTGCAGTGAGCCGAGATCGTGCCACTGCACTTCAGCCTGGGCAACAAAGTGAGACTCGTCTCAAAATAAATAAGTAAATAAATAAAAGATTATAACAGGAGCCGGGCGCGGTGGCTCACGCCTCTAATCCTAGCACTTTGGGAGGCCAAGGTGGGTGGATTGTCTGAACTCAGGAGTTTGAGACCAGCCTGGGCAATGTGGCGAAACCCTGTCTCTACTGAAAAAACAAAAAATTAGCTGGGCGTGGTGATGTGCACCATAGTCCCAGGTACTCGGGAGGCTGAGGCACGAGAATCGCTTGAACCCAGGAGGCGGTGGTTGCAGTGAGCTGAGATTGCACCACTGGACTCCAGCCTGGGTGACAGAGTGAGAATCTGTCTCAAATAAATAAATGAATAAAATAAAATTATAACAGGCAGACGGTCACTGGCCAGGGAACGCCTACGTTGAATAAACAAAGCTGATGTGTAAAGAGTTCTGAGGTTTGCTTCACAGGTCACCACACACAGCTAGCCTTCTTTTGGGGTCTGGCCTGGCCCTGCGCTCGGGTAAGGACAGAAGGTTCTGGGTGATGCTCCATGAAGGAGAACCCAGCCGCTGGTTATTGTCTTTTGTGCAGTGATGCTAATGTCTATTCACTGGTCTCATGGCCTGGCTCTGCTTTGCTGCGCAGCTCTGTCTCCCACTCCGTGCTGTCTGAGATGCAGGTGATCGAGCAGGAAACCCCAGTGAGTGCAAAATCTTCTCGCTCTCAGCTGGACTTGTTTGACGATGTTGGTACTTTCGCCTCTGGACCCCCAAAGTAAGGCTGTTTTCTAGCTGTAAACTTGACTGCTGTGTTCCTCATCAGGCTTCTCTGAGCCACTCTACTGTCTCCTTAGGTACAAGGACAACCCCTTTTCCTTAGGGGAAAGCTTTGGTTCCCGCTGGGATACAGATGCTGCCTGGGGTATGGACAGGGTAGAGGAGAGGGAGCCAGAAGTGGCCATCTCAAGCATCCGGCCTGTTTCAGAAAGGTAGAGTGGGCTGTTCTTTCTTTTTTTTTTAAACAAGCTGAAGGTAGAGAAGTCTAAGGCAGCACTGTCTAGAAGAACTTTCTGTGATGATGGAAATGTTCTCTATGTTGTTTAATATGGTAGCCACTACTATGTGGCTATGAGCCCTTAAAATGTGGTTGGTGCAACTGAGCAACTGAATTTCTTATGTAGTTTAATTTTTGATAAATGTAAATAGCCACCAGTGGCTGGCGCTGCCTCATTAGACAGTGCAGCAGTCAGGCTTCGGTTTGAGTTGTGCTTTGTCATCACAGAGGGCCTGGCAGCTGCTTTTGCTTGGGGTCCATTTCTCTGGCAGGAGGGGCCTGATTTTATGCTTCAGTCCTGACCTCCTTTCAAGGGTTTTATGTCTCCAGCCCCCTTATTTTAAAAACCCTACTCCATCTTAATCTGGGATCTGTTTAGTTGACATAATATCTGTGAGTTATCCCCTGATTAAACGGGAACGTAACTACTTCACAGGGTCTGCGGAAATACCTGGCCCAGTGTCCACATACTCATGGCAAGATGAGAGCAGCCATCTCCCTTTCCACACCAGGATGCTTTTGAGAGTAAAGGGGGCAGTTTGCTATTCATGGTTACGACAAGAGTAGGTATAAAGCCAGGCAGACTGACACATATGCTCATTGTAGTACTAGGCATGTTGTCACTAGGATTAGGGTAGCAGCAGTTGTGTGGCCTCCTGAATGCTGACAAAGCTGTGTGCTTTTGGGCAGGAGCCTAGGCCACTGCAGACCGTATTTCCACCCTGCCTAGTGCAGGTTACTAAGCTCTCTGGGCCTTGGCCTCGGTGTGGAGAAGGGTGACTCCTTAACCAGGGGAGAGGGGCCCAGAGTCACAGAGCCACAGACAGAATGGGACCTGGTAACCCATCACCAAAAGGCCATTGGTGCTCTGTTTGGTCTCTGTACTCTGCCTCCCCTCATGATAATAGGAGGAGTCTGAGCTGTTCCACATCTTCCCCTCAGGGCCACAAACCGGAGGGAAGTGGAGAGCCGGAGCTCAGGCCTCGAGTCTAGTGAGGCACGTCAGAAATTCGCAGGAGCCAAAGCCATCTCATCTGACATGTTCTTTGGGCGGGAGATGGATGCGGAGGTAAGTTGGGCTGTCTGTCTTGAGGTCTGAGGCAGCAGGCAGAAGCATGAGCTTTCTCCCTGCCGCTGCTTTGGGCTTTAGCACCAGGAGGGCCTGGCCTGTGTGAGTCCTTGGGTCCTCGGCCCCAGGATCCCCAGGCCTGGCCTTTTCCTCACCACAGTATGAGGCCAGGTCTCGGCTGCAGCAGCTCTCAGGCAGCAATGCCATCAGCTCTTCAGACCTCTTTGGGGACATGGATGGAGCTCACGGAGCAGGTAGGGCCCTGGTGGGGTGGCAGGCACCAAGCGAGGCCTGGGAGCAGGGCGGGAGGGCCTTGCTGTGACTGGGAAGGGCTTCCTGCTGGGCTGTGGGTCACCCTGCCCTTGCTTTTACAGGAAGTGTATCTCTGGGGAACGTGCTGCCTACAGCGGACATTGCCCAGTTTAAGCAGGGTGTCAAGTCTGTGGCCGGGAAAATGGCTGTGCTGGCCAATGGTGTGATGAATTCCTTGCAGGTGAGGCTGAAGTGGGGCCTAGTGAGGAGTGCTGGGAGGTTTGCCCTTTGCCACCACATAGAGACACTGCTACTGCCTAGCTCCTCTGAGCCTTAAGAGCATTTTTGGCCGGGTGCGGTTGCTCACGCCTGTAATCCCAGCACTGGGAGGCTGAGATGGGATCACTTGAGGTCAGGAGTTTGAGACCAGCCTGACCAACATGGCAAAACCCTGTCTCTACTAAAAATACAAAATTAGCTGGGCATGGTGGCGTACACCTGTAATCCCAGCTACTCGGGAGGCTGAGGCAGGAGAATCGCTTCAACCTGGAGGTTGTAGTGAGCCGAGATCACGCCACTGCACTCCAGCCTGGGTGACAAGAGTGAAACTGTGTCTCAAAAAAAAAAAAACCACACACACAAAAGCAAGAGTGTAGAGAGGGGCATTTTCTTTTCTTGGAGGGCAGCTTCCTTCCTTTCAGCTCCATACCAGGGCTGGGCCTCTCCGAGCTGCCACTGTGTCTGCCATGATCTTCCCTGGCCTTGTCACCTGTCCCGGTCTTTCTCTTCTTTTCCCAGCTTCTGCGAGGCCAGGCAGGGCTTCCCCATTGTTGGGTGCCCGAGTGGCCCCTGCCCCAGCTCTCACCGTGGACTCCTGCCTCCCCAGGCTGTCCAGCCCCTGCCTCCCAAGTCTTGCTGTGGGGTGCTGGGGCAGGCAGTGTGTTTGCTGGGAAGTTGCTGCAGCTTAGAGAGCCTCTGACTTTGTTTTTTTTCTCCTCCCTCGCCCCCAGGATCGCTACGGTTCCTACTGATCCAAGCTCTGTGACTCAGGCTTACGGTGGTGACTGCAACAAGAACTCCACAGTTCCCAGGCTGGGGATGCTTTGCCTTGTGGAAGCTGGGGAGGATTTGTTACTTTGTATGTGTGGTGTGTGTGTGGAGTGGTCTTCGAGGCGCTCACTCATGTGAGGGGAATGGTCAGTACCAGCCTTTGTCCTCTGCCTGTGGACTGAGCCCTTTATTCCCTCTCACACCACCCTCCGTGTGTTAGACTCTTGTCCTTCTGTCCTGCCCCCACAGCTGCTGCTCACTTGTCCTGCCACACTGGGAGAGGGGGTTCCCCCAGGATGGCTTATTCTGGGTCCAGCCTTTCCTCAAGTAGGGAAAGTGGAAGGTAGAAGGCTTTTTTTTGCTGGCTCTAGGGTTCTTCTAGTTCGAGGGCTTGGGTCTCCATCCTCTGGAACCATGGGGAGGCCTGGAAGGAGTTCACTGTAGACCCGTGCCCTGGGGAAAGAGGCTGCGGACTTGCTGCTGCTGCTGCCAGTGGCCTCTTCTGGGTGCCAGGAGAGGGCGAAGGAGGGAAAGGCCCTTTTGGGCATTACCAAGGACAGGAAACTACCTGGTACCTAAAGGTTTCATTCAGGATCAGACGGGAGACCCACGGGTTCTCCGTCTCGCCACCCTTTGTACAGTAAGCACGTGGAAGATTGTCTCAGGCCTCTGTGCCGTCTCTGTGGACCGCAGGACCTTCTGCCACATTCTCTGTCCCTTCATCCCCTGGTTGGTGGCCATGGAGGGTCTTGTCTGCTGTGGTTTGACTCTGGAGGCTGTGAGCTTGATGCTGGCCAGGGAAGCAGAGGATGTGAGGGGCAGAGGCAGGCTCTTGGGGCTGAGCTCCTTCCTCTGCATCATTCTGGGCTTGGGGGCCTGGACAGCACCCGCCAGTGAGAGCTGCGGGCCTCACCCTCTGGCATCTGAGCCAAGCACTGTGTCATTCTTGGTGCCATCTTCCCCGCCGCACCGGCAGTCTCAGCCCAGCCCCTACCTTTGGGTTGTAGGTTGGGCTCCCAAGCAACACAGACCACTCTTCCCCTTGCCCCTCCCCCAGAGGGACATGACTTTCTTTCTGGACTGTTTGTATTGAAACAAAGTGGTGTCAAAATAAAGCCCCCGCAGGGCCTTGCTCCCTGTTGGTCTGAGTGAAGCAGTGTCCTCTGGATCCTGCCTCCCTGCCCAGTGCCGGACCCTGGCCTCACTCTCGGGGCTCCCACCGGTAATGGTAGGGCGTCGGTACCGAAGCTGAGGACACTCTCTCCAGGGCCTCCTGCTTCTCTCTTCTCTGAAAGCCAAAGGCCCCTGGCTCCTTGGCTCTGTGCTGCCGTGAGGTCCGGTGCAGCTTCGACCTCACCACCCTGTGGCACGCAGAGGAAAGAGCTGGCATTAGTTGACCCTTTAACTCGCTGGCTGAGGGTGAGCGAGCAACCTCAGCAGTCCTGCCCCTTGTCACAGCAGTAGGCTTGACAGGGGATGGGTTTCAGTGGAGCTTAAGAAATATTTAAGGCCAGGCATGGTGGCTCATGCCTGTCATCCCAGCACTTTGGGAGGCTGAGGCGGGTGGATCATTTGAGGCCAGGAGTTTGAAACCAGCCTGGCCAAAATGGTGAGACCCCATTTCTACTAAAAATACAAAAATTAGCCGGGGGTGGTGGTGCATGCCTGTAATCCTGGCTACTCAGGAGGCTGAGGCATGAGAGTCGCTTGAACCCAGGAGGCAGAGGTTGCAGTGAGACTAGGTCGCGCCACTGCACTCCAGCCTGGGAGACAGAGTGAGACTCTTGTCTCAAAAAAAAAAAAAAAAAAAAAAAAAATTATATATACGCATATATATACATACACACACATACTCTTAGATGTTAATGGGACCCTTTAAATTCCGAAAGAAAAGATGTGTTTGTATGTAAACCCTTGGCTTGGCCACCCCTTTCTCTTGGGGGCTTCTGAAACATCTCTGTGCCACCTTAGGAGCCCTCACGGTAGTTACAGACCACTGGTCTGTGAAGTGGATGATTAGAAAGGATGGGCAGAGGGAGCCAGGGGGCTCTAAGCCATGGATTTGCAGAGTGTAGGTTCGGGACTCATTCAGCTTTGGGATCATCTGAAATTTCTGGACTCCATCCCAGGCTGGTAGAGTTAGACTCTCTGGAGCTTGGTAATTTGCATTGTCAGTAGGCTTCCCTGTGGTTCTGAGGACACCAGGATTTGAGAACCATGTCTCTCATGGGCTGTGGATCATTGTGGGCCTAGAGAGCTCATCACGTGGTCTGAGCATTTTTTTTTTTTAAAGACTGTCTCATTCTGTCACTGGAGTGCAGTGGCACGATCATGGCTCACTGCAACCTCAACCTCCTGAGCTCAAATGATCCACCTCGGTCTCCCAAGTAGCTGGGACTGCAGGTGCAAGCTACCATGCCTGGCTAAGTTTATTTTGTAGAGATAGGGTCCCACCGTGTTTCCCAGGGTGGTCTTGAACTCCTGGGCTCAAGCAGTCAGCCAACTTTGGCCTCCCAAAGTGCTGGGATTACAGGCAATGAGCTGCCGCATCCTGGAGCTGCTTCTGGGTTGGAATGCCCAGTCTTGGCAGGGGTTTGGGAGGCAGTTCCTGTAATTATCCGTTCTGGGTAGCGATGAGCCCAAGGAAATGTGTGTGCCTAGTAGTGGTGACATCCGCCTTCAGAGGAGGCAGCCCTGTTATGCTTGGGCCTCTGGGTGGGTTCTGCCCTCTGGGGGACCCTGCCTCCGCAGCCCTCAATCCAAAGAGGTTGAAGACCACTCGTCCTTACCTGCCTCCAGTCTTGGATGGGGTGTGTCTGCCCCAGGCTGTGTCTTTCACAGCTGCATCCCACTGCCCTAACCCCAAGCAGGTGCTTGGCAAATGTTGACTGAAACCCTGGCTCGAAGGCTGTGCAGTATTAACCCTTTGTGGCCATGGTCTTTAAAGTTATGGGAACCTGGCCTTGAACCCTCTGAACCTATTTCCTGAAGGCCGTTCCAGCTGTGAGCACCTTTTCCTCTGGAAGGCTGCTTTTGTGCAAAGCCAGGCCCCTCTGCTCATTGTCTGAGGCAGGTCCCCAGGCCTGAGTGGGCCACTGGCCCCTACCTCCTAGTCCTGCCAGAAAAGCACCACAAACCCAAACTCACCCTCTCCCTTCTCCCCTCAGCCTAGGAGCTTTAGACTCACCACTTACCAGACACGAGGGACTTTATTTGTTTCACATATTTAGCTATTAGACACAAAGGGGTCAAGACTTGAAGCAGTTTTTGCAAGTGAAATCATCTTCTGGCCCACCCTTCTCCATCCTACCAAGGCTACTGGCTGTTCTCCAACAGAAGGCCACAGCGGTTATGTCCTCCTGGTACTTGCGTCGCAGGTGTCACCCTTGATGGTGCAAGGCCCTGCGTGGCTATTCGGGTTCTCCCCCTTAATGGAATTGCTGTGAGGAGATGAACCTTATCAGGGGACCAGCAGAGGCTGGTTCAGAAGAGACCGTTCTTAAGAGGTTAGGAGGACTAATAGGCTACGGCCAAGTCCCCTTCCTAGTGATACGGTGGCTTCAGCACAGGCTGTCAGCTTGGGGCCTGAGTGAAGTTCGCAGGCTGACAGGACCAGGGAGAGCAGGCCATTCCCTTCCGGGGCCACTGGCTGGGCTGATCATCAGCGCCTCTCTGGCCGCTCTTGGGGCTGTTATTCGCCTTGTCAGCAGCAGAGGGCAGCACAACAAGGTGCTGGAGAGGAGGCTGGGTGGGCACGCCAAGGGCTGGGTGGGAGCAGGTATAGGGCGCTGTGGGCTGGACCCTTCGGACTCCTCAAGTCTCCGATTCGTCTGTCTCTTCAGTGGAGCCATCGCTCTCTCCATCCACTTTTCGGGAATGATGGAGAGGTCTCCAGGGGGAGCCAACCCGGGGAGGGGTCCGGGAGGGCAGGCAACTGGCCTCTGGACTGGCTGTGATCGAGTTGACCAGGCCCGGGACCTGGGCCAGCCTGAAGAAGGGAAGAAGCCTGGAGGGCAGCGAGAGGCCTGCTGTCCAGAGAGCGGGGCCTCCATGCCCACTCTTACACTAGGGCAAACCCCTGGGCTGCAGCCCCCGAAGGACTCAGAGGGAGGGACATCTCAGGCCTCTGCTGGCCCCCAGACCCTTCCCTGGCAGATGCAGGATGTTACAGACAAGTGGTGTTGGCCCCAGATGGGGCGCAGCCGTGTTCAACCCGTCTGGCCCCCACAAGGGGGCAGCATCCTCCCACTTGACACTTACAGCCGTTCCAGCTCCTCGTCCATTGCTGGGTCGTGCATCAGATCCCCCTTGTCAGGCAAAGCTCCTAGGAGATCATTGGGGGCACAGTAGTTAAAACGAGGGCCTTTCAGCCCGGTGACAGATTCCTCCATGCCCCTTACCTTCACAGCTCCCTGTTCTGCTGACCCTGGGAGGGCTGATCTGAAGATCTGAGGACTGCTAGAGGGGCCAAGAACAGTCAGAGCAGGAAGGTCCTGGCTGCTGCTTGATACATTATTGAATCCCACTGCTTACTTTCCCTGTCTGGGGCAGACACCACAGCCAAGGAGACATTCCCAGACAAGTGTGGTGATCCCCTTCCAACACTAGGTGGTTGTGACCTGGTGCTGGAAGTTGAGTTCTTCCTTGTTCTTCCAGGTAACTGGACTGAAAAGGATATGGTCCAGGCTACGCCCAAAGGTCAGACATTACCTAATTTTGCGTCCCCAAATCAGGGTGACCCCAGTTTGGAGACAGATGGTAAAAAAAAAAAAAAAAAAAAAAATGCTGCCTCTGCTTCTCCAAAGAGGATCCTGGGGCAAGAGGAGAAGGCTGGGTCAGGGCCAGAGTTAACCTGGCATAGGCAGATTGCCAATTTGTCCAAATCTTTTTCAGATGATGCCCCCTGGCCCCTCTTGCCCTAAGTTAGTGTTTTTCAAACTACATCTCACAGAACCCTCTCATTTGGGGGGTGCCCTGGGGACTAAGGGAACAGGGCTGACCTCCATGACGCGGCAAGCAGTATATCTCCAGATTTCTATTTTATACACTGGAGATGCAGGTGAGGCCCGAGACCACTTGCTTGTTTCTGTCTCCCATTCCACCCAACCACCCAACATTAGCGTGCAGTAAAAGTGGTTGAATGATAGTGACTTTTTTTTTTTTTGAGACAGTCTTCCTTTGTCACCCAGGTTGGAGTGCAGTGATCATGGCTCACTGCAGCTTCGACCTCCCATGCTGAAGCGATCTTCCCACCTCAGCCTCCTGAGTAGCTGAGACCAATGGTACATGCCACCACACCCAGCTAATTTTTTTTTTTTAAAGAGACAGGGTTCTCCTTATATTGCTGAGACTGGTCGTTAACTCCTGGGCTCAAGGATTCTCTTGCCTTAGCCTCCCAAAATGCTGGGATTACAGGTGGAGCCACCATGTCTGGCTATTAGTGTTATTTATTTACTTATTTATTTATTTGATGGAGTTTCGCTCTTGTTCCCCAGGCTGGAATGCAATGGCGTGATCTTGGCTCACCATAACCTCTCCCTCCTGGGTTCAAATGATTCTTCTGCCTCAGCCTCCCCAGTAGTAGGAATTATAGGCATGTGCCACCACAACCGGCTAATTTTGTATTTTCAGTGGAGACGGGGTTTCTCCATGTTGGCCAGGCTGGTCTTGAACTCCCAACCTCAGGTGATCCACCCACCTCAGCCTCCCAAAGTGCTGAGATTACAGGCATGAGCCACCGCACCCGGCCAGTGTCCTTTTTAAAGGCCCTTAGAAAAGGGGGATGAGGTTAGTCCAGGCTGTGACCCAGTTGCTAATTGGCTTTTCTTTCTCCTTCCTAGTTCCTGCTGTTGGTGGGAAGGAAGGGTGGTCATAACTAGGAGTATGAAAAAATAGCAGGGCAGATCCCACCCGCCTCCCCCTTACTCTTGATTCCTGATTTTTCCCTGTTTTTTTTTTTTTTTCTTTTTTGAGACTGTCTTGCTCTGTCGCCCAGGGTGGCATGCGATGGCGTCATCTTGGCTCACTGCAACCTCTGCCTTCTGGGCTCAACCGATTCTCATGCCTCAGCCTCCCAAGTAGGTGGGATTACAGGCGTGTGCCACCATGCCCAGCTAATTTTTGTATTTTTAGTAGAGACGGGGGTTTCACCATGTTGGTCAGGCTGGTCTCGAACTCCTGACCTCAGGTGATCCACCTGCCTCAGCCTCCCAAAGTGCTGGGATTACAGGCGTGAGGCACCACACCCGACCTGTCAATTGCCTCCTTTCTAGTCCTAGTTCAGCGGGTAACCTCAGCTACCAACTTCAGTTAGTTGAGGGCTCCCCAGACTGTGCAAGCCCCAAGCACTGACTCAGAATAACCAGGCTGCAGGTGGCATGCAGTTCAGCCTGCTAGGGTTTGTGCTTGTGCATCCCAGAGCATCCCCGGCTAACTGTATATTGTGTAAGATAAGAAATATAAAGCATGCAGCACAGTACTTAGCCTGCTGTGGTTGGCATTTAGTGAATATTAACTTTCCTTCCCTTAATCTCATTCCCTCAACTAGCAAAAGGAAGTGGGGGGAATGCTGTGTGTCTTTTCCTTGAGACTCAGGCACTTGGGATCCCAAGCCAGCAGGAGGATCTCTTGAGACACAAAAAAGAACCCCTTGCTGGGCGTGGTGGCTCACAACTGTAATCCCAGCACTTTGGGAGAGCAAGGTGAGGGGATCTCTTGAGCCCAGGAGTTTGAAACCAGCTTGGGCAACATGGCAAAACCCAGTCTGTACAAAAAACACAAACATTTTCCAAGATGGTGGCTCATGCCTGTAGTCCCAGCTACTAGGAAGGCTGAGGTGAGAGCATCACTTGAGCCCGGGAGGTCGAGGCTGCAGTGAGCTGAGATTGCAACACAGCACTCCAGCCTGGGCAACAGAGTGAGACTCTGTCTCAAAAACAAAAACAAAACCCCTTAAACTCTAGTAGAATGGAGGCTTACTGGCTCTTCCCTTAGGAGAGCAGTGGCTGTGGGAGGGGGAACAGTGGGGTGGGTAGAGAAGGCTCAGTGAAAAACCAGCAAGCAGGGAGAACTGGACCACTGCAGGCTCCCCCACTTTTGTTTTTCTCCCTTTCAGATTAATCAGATTTTTTTTTCAGCTTGGAATAAAGGTCTCCCCAGACACACCTTTGCCCTGTTTATAAATGGGATTCAGGTCTCTTTGATATATAATCTCTAGCACCACTGAGTAAATAGTCCTGTGTCTGCCCAACCTGCAGGCCGCTCCCCAAAGCAGAGCTGGGGATTCTCTGAGGAGGGGCTGGGCGCGCCTCTGCTGTGGGGAGACGGCTTCATGTTGGGGCAGGGCCGCAGGCAGGGAAGGACGCTGTCCTCTACCATGGGAATGTGTAAGAGCCATGTTTTGTCGCGCATGTTCCTGCTCCCTGGGACTGAGTCTGGCCGTGGGAAGTCAAGGCAGAGATGGTGATGCCCCTTCCCCATGAAGCCGTGTTGCCAACAGAGGCCAGCTGCTCCCTGTGTTGTGCGGCAGGAGAGGCTGATGGCTGCTAGCTCTGACTTACCGAGGGCTTGGTTGATTCCATGGTGCTTTGAGAGAGCCATGAGGAACCCATAGAAGGTCAGTCTCTGAACGTTGCTGAGGGCCTCTTTGACAAGTGCTGGGGGTGGGCAGCTAAGGAGAGACGCCACATTCAGAGGCTAGCCAGCCTCAGAGACATTTCTGCATCCATACTTTCCAGTTCACGAGGATACCCACAGCCAAGCCAGGGACCTGCCTTGGGAGCCCCAAGGCCCTGGGGGATCCAGCCCTTCACTGTGGTCAGGAGGGGCTGGCACGTTCACTAACTGGTGCTTTCACCGGAGTGGGGAGCGGCGGTGGGAAATGGCTAGGGAAACCAAATCCGTTGCTCGGTCCCTAAGGATACTTGTGCCACACAGGACAGCTTACCCCTCTCTTTGTGTAGAAAAGTTTTATACAAGGAGTACTCTTTCCTTCTCTCTAAAATGTTAAAGCCAGTCTGTCAGCCAGTAAATTGGTCATCTACAGTGGTCTTGCCCAAGGGAAAGCGGTCCTTTTGAAGTGAGCCATCTGGGAGCCTTTCAGTCAACAACTGGTTTGGGGGCAAATGGCACTGTTACATTATGACCAGCAAGGGTCCTAGAATCCCTGGGCCTGGCAGAACATCCTGCAGAGCTCTGCTCCACAGCCAGCAGTCTGAGCTCCCTGGGGCTGGGGGGCTGGGGGGCTGGGGGCTGCATGCCCATTCCTCACCTGTACTTGTGCCGATCACACAGGTTTTCCAGACACTGGTAGAACAGCGACGCCTCCACGCCCTCCAGCATGCCGGCCTCGCCCAAGGCAGGTCGTTGGCGGTGCTGCCCACTGGATGACGTCGGCACGATCACTGTGTTGGGGTTCTTGCCCGACAGCAGATCCTCATAGATGGCAGCCACACTGTCCAGGAATTCTGGAACCGTGGGGCGGGGGTGGGGGTGGACAGCTCAGGCAGGGAGGACATGTTTTGTCTCTTCACTATGTTCTCCCTTCTCTGTCAGCCCAGTTCCACACCAGCCTCAGTGCTCAGGGCATGGTATCCTGAGAGCACAAGTTGTCAACCTTGTTTGCCAGCACAGTGATGAGAGATGACACTAATCTGTTTTCGCTCAAATGTCCCATCCCTCAGTTGTTCCTGGACTAGGTGAGACCTGCCATTGCATACTTTCATAGCACCCTAGGCTTTTTTTCTGGCACTTAGCCAGTGAGGAGCTTTCTGTGTCATTAATTGTCTGTCTCCTTGCTGGAATGCACAAAGGCAGGGGTCATGCCTGGTTGGCCTGTCCTGCCTAGCACTGTGCTTGGCACACATTAAGGCCATAAATATTTTTTGGAGGAGTGAACATGAGTATGCTCCCACTGGTAAGCCCCATCTTGTGTGGCCACCTGCCTCTCTACCTCAAGAAAGCGTGTTGGAATACCAGCGAGGAACAGAGAAAGCCCGCAAGCTGCTGCTGAGTCAGTCATTTGAAATGGTTTTCAAAGTTGTAGTTGAGCCACTGTTAGAACTGCTGACTTATTGGCCCATCTCATCTCTAACACACACTGCTGGGCAGTGTCAGTAATGCTCCTGGCCCAATGTGGTAGCTGTCCCATCCCTCTGGAGGTGCTGTGAGAAGAGGGCTGGGGAGGCATTGAGGGGAAAATGTTCTCCCAGACATGGCTACTCCTTCTCTAGGGCCCAAGAGCTTCGGAGAAATGGGAAATGACTCCCATTTCTTGCCACCTGCTCTTAGCAGGTGGCAAGACCCCAGGCTCCAGCCCCTGCCTGCACAGCCCTTGGGCTGCCATGAAGTAAACAGAATGTGGCGCCCAAGTGAGGCTAGGGCTAGCTGGGGACACCAGTTGGCAGGAAGGCCACCTCTAGGATCTAAGGACAGCCTTCTATTTACTGGAAGAGCCTGTTTTAATTAGTTTGTTTATGAACACAGTCAGCACTCCATTTGGTGTCTCTGTGTGTGAGCTGGTGTATGGTTATATTTATTTGTCTATATTTATTCCATCTGATTCCAGAGAGACTTAAGGGTGCAGCTGGCTGAATTGGGGAGCAGAGTGGGAGTGTGACAAAAGACTGGTGTGTACTTTTTTAAAGCTGTGGGGTGGAGGAGAATGTGCACGCAAACACACGATTGGTTGCCAAAGGAGAGACCCTTGAAGGCAGTAAAATAGCAGCGAGGTTGGGAACACTGGCTCTGGAGTCAGCCTCCAGGTCTGGTTTCCACCGCTTATGAGCTGCATGACTGGCTACTTACTTCTGTGAGCTTGTCTCTGAAAGGACCCTCTCTTAAGGCTGTTGTCAAGATTAAAGTCAGTGCTGTGCCTGCGACAGTAAGTTTTCAGTAAGCAGTGAATGCTGTGGATGTTGTTATTGTCATTATCACTTAAACGGATGTGTTGCGTTGCTGACTGAGAGCACTGTGGTTTTCAGTGTCTTCAGGAGGCTGAGGAGGTCAGCTCTGCAGACTGAATCTTGTGACCACCACTGAACGCCAGACATCCTGTTAGTGACCCGCAATGAAGCACACCCCAAAGGAGGTGGGGAAGAGAAACGTGTGCCAGACACACAGATGGGCAGGGCAGCAGGGCGGGACAAGGAGGCAGGGTCCTGTGTGGAGCCAGATGGAGCCCGGGAACACTCACCTGAGTAGTAAAACTGGATCTGGAAGGCAAAGAGGAAATCTGAAAAAGACATCAAGCAGTCCATGGCGTCGTCCATGAGCACAATCCTGAAGGGGAAAGAGAGAATCTGAGAGAGAGAACTGGGGGAGGTTTAAGGAGGGGCGGGGCAGGTTTAAGGAGGGGAGGGAGAGAGCGGGAGGGAGGAAGGGAAAAGTGCGGGGGGAAAGGGAGAGAGAGAGAGCTGTTCCTGGGCCGCCAGTCTCCCCTGGGGCAGCAGGACATTTAGGAGAGGGCTCCCAAAAGCAAGCTCCTCCCAGTCACCTCACCGCTCCATCAACTGGACTCTGCCATCAAACTGAACTGACCACACTGTACCCAGAGTGGGCTCCCGGTTCAGTCTCAGTGGCACCAGCTAGCGGATGGAGCATGGGCAGGGGGTGGCGAGGAGAGGGTGCAACTGTAATGCAGCCAAGGTTTCTTTTCATATACTTAAGCAGTAAATCCTTTCATTCTGCTGTGAGGACCATTTAGTTCAGAATAAATACAGCGATCAGAAAAGGCAAAAAGAACAGCCAAGGGGTTTAAAGGGTCTTGGCAAGTGGTACTGAGATTTAATAAGCTACCAAAGGGCCAGAACAGCGACAGACACCTCCACCCTGAGACACAGATGGCAGACAAGGGGAGAGGGCAAAGAGCTATTCGGGAATCTGCACTTGTGAGGGTCAAAACCCACACTCATCTTGTGCTGCCGCCCTGCTCCTCCTTGCTGTCCACATTCACAGGTTGCCCACCCCACAGTTTTCCTGTCTCTAGTGCCTCCCACTGAGGACCCACCTCACAGGAAGAAAACCATCTGACTCGTAAAGGGATTAGACCAAGGCTATGTTCGTCCTCTGCTCAGCGCCTCATCTGAGCCGGGACAAGAAGAGAAGGAAATGAGCGCTTGCTGGGCTCTATCACATGCCAGGCAGGCGCCAAGCCATCCACTGGGGTGGGGCGGGCCCCCAGTCTGTTTCTGATCAGGCCCTTCTGGCTTTATCTTTCTTTCTTTTTTTTTTAATTGTTTTTGGCCGGGTGCGGTGGCTCATGCCTGTAATCCTAGCACTTTGGGAGGTCGAGGTGGGTGAATCATCTGAAGTCAGGAGTGTAAGACCAGCCTGGCCAACATGGTGAAACCCCACTTCTACTAAAAATACAAAAATTAGCTGGGCGTGGCGGCACGTGCCTGTAGCCCCAGCTACTCAGGAGGCTGAGGCAGGAGAAGTGCTTGAATCTGGGAGGCAGAGGTTGCAGTGAGCCAAGATTGCACCACTGCAGTCCAGCTTGGGAGACAGAGACCCTGTCAAGAAAAAAAAAAAAAATTGTTTTCTTTTGCTCTCTCTTATATTTTTCTAAATCTCTCTCCACTTCCCTGAGTCAGAGGTTCCCCAGACTGGCAACTGGATCAGCCCCAGAGAAAGCCAGGATTGCTCACTGCTGGGGAAGGGGCTCCACAGAGACTGTGATATTGTGGTGCCACTCCCCTTGCTGCCATCTCCCTGAAGAGAGACAGCAGTTCCTGCCTAGTCTTTATTGTAATACGGATAACAATAGAAGCAGGTACCATTTCCTGAGTTTTTAATTGTTTTTAAACCCTACGTACCGCATGGCAGGCTATTGAAGTATGTAACTGCATTCGTTAAATTTTAGCCCACAACAATCCTACAGGTGGGTCTTATATTTCCATTCTACACGTGAAGAGTCTGAGGCTCAGAGGTCAGCCTGCCAAAGTCACACACACAGCTGGGGAGCTTGCTGGACTCCACAGGGTACGCATCTTCCATGAGGCCATACTACCTCTTTGAAAATAAAGCTACAGAGCAAAAACACTAACATTTTACCTCCTAGTTTCTGTGGCTGATTTATTTTCTTTCTTGTTACTGATATGTTAGGCATCTCCTGGGGAGAACGACAGCTGCCTCCACCACCAGAGTTTAACACTAGAATTCCAGCTGGAAAAAATTCAAGACTGGAGGGCGGGAAGAAGCAGTGCTGCTGAGGGCCACAAGAGAGTGCCCTGGTCCCTCCATCAGTAGTTCACGGGACTAAGTGCACTGCCAAAGGCCAAGTGGTTACCCCATCTTTCATAACCCAAGGAAAACCCAGGCAGCAAAACCGCTCCTTCCCCACCCAGATGGCAGAATCTGTTTTGACAACTGGATTGCGGGAGCAGGGAGACGGCAGAGGGTGGGCAGTTAGAGAGGACTGGCGTTAGCAAAGACCCCCAAACTGCAGAGGAAGAGTGAGCTCTCCCAGGAGCGCTCAGGGAGCGAGAGCCACCGGCACCTCAAAGCTTTTCCTTGGCAGGCTCAGCAGGGCAGACAAAGGCTCTGGACATGAGAAGTCACTGACTTTCCCTTCCTTCCCTGCTCTCAGGACAGCTGGAGCCCCAACAATCTAAAGTGAATTACAACAGAACAGCACTGGGCTGTGAATATCCCCAAGCAGGAAACCACCAAGGAGCCCAAGCCTGTCCCCATGTTCCATGGCTTCCGTTGATCATCAATTGGAACACAGTGCTCCCACAGCAGCAACTTCCACTTACTATTTATTTACATTGCGATATAATGAAGCACCATAAAAGTCACCCTTTAAAAGTGTACAATTCAGTTTTTTAGTATATTCACACAGTAGCATCACTGTCACCACTGTCTAATTGCAGAAGTTACCTCCATTTGCAATTCTCACCAATAGGCCCATTCTGGAGCCTGCCTCGGAGCAGAAGCTTGAGCTCATACTTCCCAAAGGGCTTCACAGCCTCGTGGAAGCCTTAATGCTGAGTGCCACGAGCATCTTCCTCTTTCAGCCACAGATGGGCTAGAAGCTGTAACCAGGGTACACCCTTCCAGCCTCAGAAGTGGTCTGCAGCTTTCTGCTAGGGGCCATCTTGACCTCGAACATCAGCAGTCCCTTTGGAGATGGGCTGTTCCAGAAGAGGGGGTGCACACCATGGGAGGGCAGGGGTGTCTGTTGGAGCAGGGCAGCCCTGCAGGTGCCCTGTAATACGGGTAACAATAGAGGCAGATACCTTTTTGTTTTTAATCTTGCTCTGTTGCCCAGGCTGGAGTGCAGTGGCGCAGATTGGCTCACTGCAACCTCCGCCTCCTAGGTTCAGGTGATTCTTCTGCCTCAGCCTCCCTAGCAGCTGGGATTACAGGTGCCTGTCACCATGCGTGGCTAATTTTTGTATTTTTAGTAGAGATGGGGTTTCATCATGTTGGCCAGGCTGGTCTCGAACTCCTGACCTCAAGTGATCTGCCCGTAGAGGCAGGTACCTTTCCTGAGAACCCCACCTCATGGCAGGCTATTAAGGCATTTGACTACATTAATTAAATTTTATTCTACAGCAGTCTTATGGGTGGGTCTTATTGTTATTTCCATTCTACAGGTGAAGAGTCTGAGGCTCAGAGACTGGGGAGCTGAAACATGCCGAGCAGGAGGAAGTAGGGGGTGAGTGAAGGGGGGGCAGACAGAGGTGAGGGCTTTCTTTCTGAGGGACATGTGGCTGGATCATAGCAGCACATGTATAAAGGACTGAGGGTTTTTTTTTATTGCAAGCAGTAAGACTGGCTACCTTTTAAAAAGCCAACTGGATCTGAGCTTGTGTTAACAGCAACACCGGCTGTGACTCTCCTCAACCGGAAACGTGGGGCATCCTAGACATCTTGGAAACTCCCCCCACCCCACCCCAAGCCAATCAACCATTCACCAACTCCTATCAATGCTATTGCTGAAATTTCTCTTGAATCCATCTACTTTCCACATCCACAGCCACCATCCTATCCCCAGCCTCCCCCTCTTTTCTTGATGATGGCATGACCTCGTACCCAGTTTCCCTGCAACTACTCTTGCTTGCTTTTTTTTTTGAGACGGAGTCTCACTCTGTCACCAGGCTGAAGTGCAGTGGCTCGATCTAGGCTCACTGCAACCTCCGCCTCCTGGGTTCAAGCGATCCTCCTGCCTCAGCCTCCCAAGTAGCTGGGACTACAGGCACACACCACCATGTCCAGCTAAGTTTTGTATTTTAGTAGAGATGGGGTTTCACCATGTTGGCCAGGATGGTCTTGATCTCTTGACCTCATGATCTGCCCGCCTGGGCCTCCCAAAGTGTTGGGATTACAGGTGTGAGCCTTCTTCTAATTGAGTATCCATATTTTGTGGTCAGAAAGATTTTCCTAAAATGTGAATGTGACCATTTTTCCATTGTGTTGGAAACCCTTCACAGAGGCTGGGCACAGTGGCTCATGCCTGTAATCCCAGCTACTCGAGAGGCTGAGGCTGGAGAATCACTTGAACTTGGGAGGTGGCCATGTCAGTGAGCCAAGATTGCGCCACTGAACTCCAGCCTGGATGACAGAGCGAGACTCCGTGTTAACAACAACAACAACAAAAACAAACAAACAAAAAAAACCTTCACAGTCTTCCCATTGCCCTTAGGACATGGTCCCCCATTTGGATCTGGCCTGTGAGCCTGCTCCATCTGCCCCCTGCCTCCCTCGACTCCCACTGCATTCTGGCCACACTAGTCTTTCCGTCCTCCCTGAAGCTGTCCTTACTCATGCCCTCCAGACAAGTCTGTCCCTCTAGCCATAATGCTCCCTGCCCTCCATGCCTCCTCCTCACCTACCAGATATCTCCATATTCTTCAGGCTGAAGCCTCCACAGCACCTCTTGGGGAAGATGAAAGAGGAAAGCACTTTTTCTAACCCAGCCTAGAATAGGCCCCCCTGCTACTGGTTTCTGCAGTTCTCAGCAGCCTCCTCACACTGTTGTCTTTGTCCTGGGAACATAAGATCTACCAAGTGACGCCTCTGTCTCCCTACCTGTGGCTTGCCTCTGGTTTGGTGCCTGGCACATAGCAGGCACTCAGTCAATGTCTGTTGAATGAAGAAATGCATCAACAAATGAGTGAGAGAAGCCACGGTCCCCTTTTCCTCTGGCCAGGTGACACCTGGAGTCGTTTCTTAATCCCTCTCATAAAGATACTTAGTGAGAATCCTTATGGAGAATGCAGATATTCAGAGGGATTAAGAAACTTGGCGAAGGTTACAAGCTAGGAACGAAAGAG